TGCTCGGCTTGTGTGGTGCCGTCATGGTGGGGACTCTTCCCCTCATGTGATGCTTGATGCAGGATACTCGATCTTGCATCACTGATGGCGACTAAGGCGAAGCATGCACGAAGCACGAAGGACGAGTCGCGCGCAGTGGACGATGGGAAAATTTTCACTCGAATCGAGCTCTCCTATTGGCTGAGGCGAGCGTACATATAAGTATCGCGGCAAGGACCGCGGTTTTTGACAGCTCGAATCTGCTGGAAATCTTGCAGCAGTCTTGCAACAGATCGCTGCTAGGGGAACAGATTCTGCATGAGATCTGCACAAGATCTGCACGTAACTTTTGCTGCATGAGCCTTTTAAAAATCTGCTGAGCAGATCTGTGCAAGATCTGCGCAGGATCTGTACAAGACTTTTGCTGAAAGAATATTGCGTATTTTACCTGTTGCGAATTGTATGTTGACTGCTGACAGAATCTTGCAATGATCTGCTGCGAATCTTGCAGCAATCTTGCAGCAGATCGCTGCTAGGGGAACAGATTCTGCACGAGATCTGCACAGGATCTGCACGTAACTTCTGTTGCATGAGCCTTTCAAAAATCTGATGAGCAGATCTGTGCAAGATCTGCGCAAGATCTGTACAAGACTTCTGCTTAAAGAATCTTACGACACACTGCTGACAGACTGCTTACAGACTGCGTGTTACGGAAAGAATCTTCCTCAAATCTGCTCGATTTCTGCAGCAAATATCTGCAAACAGATTCATGCACTTCAAATGCATGAATCTTATAGCAGACTGCTGACAGACTGGCAGCACCGACCGTTATGAACAGAATCTGCTGCAAATTCCCTATCATTTCTGCTGCAAGTAAACTGATGCAAGGCTCTGCTCGGCAGAAAATGTTACAGGGGTTTAAAGTTCGTGTTTTTTTTTTAACAGGAATATTGTAAAAATCGAAAAGTTTTAATAGTTTGCGAGTGATAATTGAAAGTAGAAAAAAGAATAAATATTATAAAATTATATTTTTTAATTAATTCCTCAAATAAACTTTAAGTATATTTATTTATAGCTATCGAAGGCAATATATTTTATTCTTTTTTATGGCATTATTCTTACTTGGTTTATAATTAGGGATGGATAATATTTAAAATTAATTTACTTTATTATCTTTGAAATATGGTTTCAATTTCAGATAATTGGATAATTCGACTTGCAAAAGATACTGTGTAAATCATATATCATGATGAAAACATAATGCATAAAAATAGACATACTTTTACCGATACGGCAAACAATATATTATGTGTTGCATTAATATGCATTCATTGCTACCTACAGTTTTGATGTTTTGCTGTAACTCTTTCATTATTTTATTAATTAATTTTAAATTTTTTGGTTATAATCTTATATGAATTCGTTTATATGTGTCTATCAGTTTATTCGTTTATGAAATGAAAATTTTAATTGCAACGAAGAGTACGATTTTAATACGTCTCCTTCTTATTAATTTCAACGTCAGTGCCAGAAAAATTTGACTATGAAACGAAATTACGTGCCGATAAATAATGATGATTCGCTGACAATGGCGAGTCGAATCGTTGGGAAACACACGCGAGAGATCACGGCAATTTAAATAAATTAACGGGGTTGGAGCGTATATTCAGCGCTTTCACCGAGTTAAAGAAAAGGAAGGAGTACTCGAACAAATCCCGCGCGCTGGATAATTACAATTAATGGCTTTTTTTAGTAATGGTTGTAATTATTATCTCCCAATTGCTAAATATTTGCAGATTATTCTAAATTAACACCAGACAATGTAGAATTAATTTGCAAGTTGAGTTAAAGGCAAAATCATAAAACTTTTCGTATTAAATATTTAATTAAGCTTTTATTTCGAATATAAAATTAAATATAAATTTATTTCAATATATTTTTTTCGAGATTAAGAATTCAATATTAAATACAATAAAATATTAACTAAACTAATTTGCAATTTAAAAATTAATTTCGTTGAAGAATATATACATGTGTAAAACATGTGTTTATTATATGCGGCACATATGTTTGGCGCTTTATGGCCAAAATATTTTCTTGAGAAGTTAATTGTAATTCAATTATACTACAATGCTTAATTTATCTGTTTAATTCATCATATGGTCTTGCAATAGTTTGATATCGTACGGAAAAGGGAAAAACAAAGAGCAGATACGATCGCCGGGATTTTCCAAGTGTATTGAATGGGAGAGTCGCTGATATTCTTCGAAGATGTATCTCGTATCATGCAAGTGGCAATCTCATATTTTTTTAGGCGCGTAATTAATTTATACATTAATATAAAGGAGAAACTGTAAATACAATTGTCGATAGCATTATGTAACGCCGGACAAATTTTCAAGACGGCTACTTTGTGCACAAGTAAGTCTGTAAGAATCGTTGGAAACAAAATTATAGTATAATAATTATTTTAAATAGAATATAAGGCTCTGGTGATTTTTAAATCAAATAGAATCAATAAGAAGCATAAAGAGCCAAAATGCTAGGTCTACGTGCGAAGGTTATAATATATTCTTTAAAAGTGTTTACAGACGTTTCGGCCTGTCATCAAGCCTTCTTCAATGTAACAATAATTAACAACAATAACAATATATTCGCAAAGATTACAATAAAAAACGATGTAGAAGACATAATAGCAATCCTTTCTCGACCATATTGTAGTTAGTTAATAATATAGGATTGTGTTAATACATAATGGCGAAGGGCTCGCTCGAGTAAACGGGACGAGGTGGAAAAGTTAAAAACAGAAGACTTTCCATGTTGAACTTCAATTTCATACTCAATAATAATAATAATTATTCATTCTTTTTACATTTGATTGACATAAGAAAAACAAACTGTACTGATTTATTTTAAACTCGGATATATGTTTTGTCGAGTATATACTTTTTAATTAATATTTAATAAATGCTAGTTTTTTGCAAATACGTAATATATAATTTTATTGTACATGGAAGATTGCTCGATCTAAAAAACTTGTATTTTATAATAGATTTTCTATGATTAGACTGTGTTCGATTTCTCCTTAAAATGTTAAGGCATCAATAATTTCTTAATGTTTTCGCAAAATTGAAGTAAACTATTGAAGTGATCTATTTTCTACTTCAATGATCTTTCGTATGACAGATCTTTACGAAATCTGTCGCAAGATTGCACTGCCGATTAGATTATAAATCGCGTTGATTTAATCGATAAACTAAGTATTGACAAAGCTGCAGATGTGATGACAAATGTCTAGTATTTTAATCACACGTCAATAGTCATTTTTGGATTTACTAATTATTGAAATTGTACAAATAATTATATAAATTAAATGCCAAGTAATTATCGATCTAAGATTTAAAAAAATCGATTGCTTGTAAAGAGGGGAAATTAGCGTCATAAGTGGTGTATGACGCGGTGGAGAGTTAAAAACTGCGTTAGTCACTTCCGTTGCGTTGGTATCTCGCGGCGCGCGGGACTTATCGTCGTTGCAATTTCACGCGTCACTTTCCAGGCTGATTGCTCGCTCTCGCGCGCGTATAAACACTGTACATACGTATGTACCTTCCTAATAATAATCCACTGATCGAACGATAGTTTTGCAATCTGGGTTTGCTTGTGCGCGCGCGGGCGCACGTACTCTCGACTCTCTTTCCACACTGAATCATAGAAAGTGTAGCAACATGCCACATGTGACTCACGCCATCGCGGGCGATCGCATCCACCGTGGAATTGCGCGCCTCTTGTAAGCTCCATCGCCGCGATTCCCACGGTAAATCTATGTCGCAATCACACGATCCCGACAATATCCCCATGTAGCGCAAAAAAAGTTGCGGGAACACTGTAAATGTTTCATCGCAAAATTGCAAACATATCGTACAATATCGCCTCATTGTTGCTGCAGCAATTAGATCAAAATTATTGTGTCAAGGGGAGTTACGGAGATTGCTCGGGTGCGAATTAAGTTGTTATCAATTCTCAGAGAAAGCCGCGGAGAGGAATATCGGCATTAAATATCGATCACGCGAAACCACATCGATTAGGGAGAAATTTACTTTAATATCAGGTTTAAATTTCTCACTATTGGAGAAATTATATTCGGAATTATCTCATAAATGTGACTATTAAATGATCGTTTTACAAATTTATCCAATCTGCGATCGTCGACCAGATTAGAGGCGCGAAGGGGAGCGCGGACCGCGCGGAAAAAGGTGTCGAACAGAGACGGCAGTACGAGGGAGTAATGCAGAAGCAAAAGGCAGAAAACACCGGTAGGCAGTTTTGTAGCTGTTTTTATCAGCTTCTGGGCATCGGGGGTCCAGAGGCCCGACCATGGCAGGACGCATCTTGGGGGGTTCGTGTGGGAACGTACGTCTCTTTAGCGTACCACCTCCCCTCTTTCTTTCTTTCTCCCTCTTTCTTCTTGTTCTCTCGCTGTCTTTCTTTTCCTCCGCTTCTTTTTCTCCTTTTTGGCGAACTGGTCTTTTTTCTCCATTTGGGCCGGCTCGACGATTCGTTCCTCCTTCGCGTCCACCCGCTCTTCGCCCCCTTCTCGCTCCCTTCGCGCGCTCGTCCTCTTCATCGAGGCTGGCTGCCTTCGGGTACCACTTGGGTCATCGGGGTCACCCTCCGCGGTGCACTCGCTACGTGGTATGCCCTATATTTACGCACGGTAAGAGCACCCTGAAGAAGAGGTGGGCGCCCGCCCGCTCCTCTCTTCCCTCCCTGCATTGCGGCTTCGCTCTTCTTCTATCCTATATCACGGCTGCTTCTCAATAAGCGCCGATCGCGTTAAGATCGGCTCACAACGATCCATCGCGTACGCAGAATATTTTTACTCTTTCGCTTTTCTCATTTCTATGTTTTTATCTGCATCTGTATTCGTTAAGTAAATATCTCATTTACTCACGTACATGTTATGAAACTTTTAATTATAGAATCTATAAATTAAATCTATAAATTATCTATAAAGTAAATTATAGACTCTATAGATAATAAAAGAGACTTAAAATGTTCTTCTTCGAGGCTTTATGTAAATAAATGACTGTTACGGAAAACGTTCATTCTTTGAAGTAATTTCTTAGTAGAGAAATCTTGTGTATTTATGATCTAAGTGACATATAACTAGATAATCTCTACACAATAATAATAATGTTTTTCCGCTTGTGGTAGCATTTTTCTTTTTAAACTTTATATGTGACTTTGCTTTCGCAATCAGAAATTAGATGTTTTTTTTTCAGAGAGCGTCACAAGTGATAAAGTGGCATGACGGGGAATAGGCGTGAAATTCACTTCTCTCGCGAACGAATCCTCTCGCACAAGCGAACTTTATTATTCGCGCCGATGAAGGCTCATGTACGAATAAAAGAGAGAGAAAAATAAAGAAATGGCCAAGCGCCGCACACCAGGTATGATCATAATTCCGTGCGCGGCGTGCATTTCATAAATCAAGCGGATTATTAAAAAACACCATGCGCTATTAATTCGTGTGATAAAGCATTAGGCGCGTTCGCGTTCGGAATCGCGGCGGTAAACGCGCGTATTGTAAGGGATTGCGACAGAACGCCTCGCAAAGGTTACAATACGAGCTGCGATGGCGTGTTGTAACCTTTGCGAGAACTGCATCGTATGCACCGTGCGATAGATAATGGCTGGCACGATCGCTTTGCGATCGTAATTACGTCGTTTCTGCCGCCAGACATGCTCGCACCAT